CCTCCTCTTTCTCCTCATCCCCCTACTCCTACTGACCTGGGTAAGTCCAGACCCGGGTCAGTCAGGCGTTGCAGGATCATGCACGGTCCTGCAACATCCTGCCGGATCCTGCACCCAGACCTGGGTCAGTGCACCTCTGGCCTTGCAGGATCCTGCAAGATCCGGCGCTCTGACTGACACCCGCTTGCATTGCCCCACGTTCTTGAGCCCCGACCAGGGGAGGCGTCGGGAATTCCAGCAGCCCGCATTGTGGCTCGGCGCCTCCCTGGGCCCTCGTCGCCCAAGGTAAATAGCGACATCCGACCCCCCCCCCCGCCAGCCGTCGACTCTCCTTCATCGATGGGAGGCGGGGGTAGGGTTCGGAGTTCGCCACGTGCTCGACGAATTCCGCATTCTACCTCCACTTCGGCTACACGCAGGAGTGGCCCTGGGTAAGAGTGACCTTTGGTGCGCGACTTTTTGGGAGCCGCGGAGGGACCGAACACAGGCGCGCACGACGCTACTATCGCATCGCATTCGGCGATCGGGGGGCCCCACTGGGCCCGCACCAAGGGACACTCCTGCGAAAGGTCACGCTTACGTCTAGTCGACCACCGCCCATCGAGTTGCCTGAATCGTGGACCGTCGAAAGTAATGTTCAAATCTCGCCGCAGACGAGGGGTGTGCGCCCAGGCCCACTGGGGACACAAACGATACTGATACCGCCACTCCCTGGACCTCTACCGGGTCGTGTCCTGACCAGAGTTTCTGAGCATCGTTTATTAATCGATCCCTACCCCGCTCGCGTGGCCTGGACCCTACTGGCTGGTTTACCCCCGTAGATGGGGATATAGGCAGTTTCTGTCAGATTTCGAAGGGTATATCCCCAACTGGGGGGATGAGATGGTAGGGGTCTGGATGGGGATGGGGATGAGGATGGGGATCGGTGAAAAGATACTGAGTATCGAAGCGAATCTGGCTGCAACAACGCAAAAGCACTCGACAGTTGCATAAAAGCGCTCGACCAAAACCCCGACCCCATCTTGATGCTGCAATTGTTCGAGCCTGGGGCCCGAAACCAAGCGAAAACGCCCGGTGTGAAAAAAATGCATCGCCCAGACCTCATGTCGGCGGTTCAAAGATGGGGTCCCCCGAGGGATGGGAGCCCCAGGGACAAGTGGCTTCAAACGGTGAAGCGTCAGCTTGGAATTCCCTTGCTACACTCAAACCTGATTGGACAGGACACGCGACAGGCTGCAAAACTCTTCCGAGGGCAACGTGGCCCTAAACAAAATACAGGACACAAGAGCACCCTGGCCACGGAAATGCAGAGGACGCGAGGACGGGACCCCATCTTTCCAGACATGCAGTGTCCAACGTTTTCCAGCACAGGGTCCCCGGAAGTCGACACTTTCCCCAGGACCGGTTTCTCATCCCGAGTCCTTCTTTGACGGTCCCGGGGCCCGTGGAGGGCCCCCATGAGGCCGACAAACCGCCAAACACCTCCCGTCGAGAGCATTTTACGGCGAGAGCCTGTCTGCTCCTGTCTCGGGGGCGGCCAAGAGGGGGGCGTCCAAGAGGGGGGGTCGCAAATCATGGCCGGCGGCACGTGCGTGGCCCAGGGGGGGGGGGCGCCGGGGACGCATTGAAACAGGAATAGGCGCCGAGAAATCTGGGGAGACATCGTGGCCCCCGCCATGATGCCCACCCCACCTATAGTCATCACCCCCCTCCTGGCCACCCCCTAATTACAAGCCAGGCCGGGGCTCGGATTCCGCCGCCGATCAGGGCCCGGCCTGCCATCCGCCGAGCCCGGGGCTTTGGCGGCGACGCCGACCCAGCGAGGAAGCCGCCGCCGCCGCAGGGCACGGGCGGCGACGACGCGCCGGCTGGGAGGCCGCTGCCGCCGCGCGGCACGGGCGCGGCGTAGGCAATGGGCAGCCGCAGCGCGCACTGGGGGAAGGGGGGGGGGGATAGCAGGAGGAGGTCCTGATCCGCGCGCTTTCCGGCAACAGTTGTTCGGGCCTCTCCTCGGCGGTTTTCCAGCCTCGGGGTGGCTTCCATCAGCTGCGCCTCGTCGAGAGCGTTTCGGGGGCGCCTGGGTTGTCCCGAACGACCGCCTGAGAGCCGACCCGAGAGCCATCCCTGGCTGCACAGAAATGCGAGGCTCCAGAAAATAGAAGCGGCCGCTCTCGGACTATTTTCTGGGGGCCCTCCGCGGGCCCCCAGGACCATCAGAAACCATCTCGGCATGAAAAGCCCGCCCTACACCCTGCGAAATGCTTAAGAAATCATGGGTCAAGAAAGTCATAGTCTCAGAACTTGAATAAGAATCCAACAATTCTATTCAAATCTTAGGATGCGCATTGAAACATTAAGAATAATCGAGATTCTGGCCGAAAACTTAAGTTTTCTTAAGCATCGCCTAAGGTGTAGGGAGGTTGTCCAGAGCTCCGGAGGTCCACGCATCGAGGAAAACGTTGAGCGACGGATGGCTGGGGGGGGGGGGGGGGGGCGACCGTACTCAGAGGTGTTCTTGATGGGTCCAGGCCCGCAATGCGTGGCTGGCAGTGGCGAGGTACTCGATGCCAGTGGTGTAGAAAAACGCGGCGGTGGGCACGGCGAGCGCGATCGCGCGCAGTTTGTAACAAAAGTGAAATGACAGGGCAGTGAGGAGGAGGAGGAGGAGGAGGAGGAGGAGGAGGAGGAGAGGAGGAGGAGGAGGAGGAGGAGGAGGAGGAGGAGGAGAGGAGGAGAGGAGGAAGGAGAGGCGGAGAGGAGGAGGAAGGGGGGGAAGGAGGAGGAGGAGAAGGAGAAGGAGGAGGAGGGGAAGGAGGAGGATGAGGAGTCCAGACGCCAAGGGAAAAGGAGGGCGGCCAAGAGCAAGAGACGCGAACGAGAACCCGTCCCAGGAAAAACAGCAATCGGCTGCCCCTCAAGGAAGCTATATCCAAGCGCCACACCATAAGGCCACGCACTGAGCATGGCAACGTGCAGCCGAAGAGGAGAGGAGGGCGACACCGAACAGGACGTCGACGACGAAGACGACAGAAGCGGAGAGAGGAAGAGCAAGGGGAGGAAGAGGGCGTCGACCAAGCGGAAGAAGAGGAGGAGCAGCACGAGCAGCAGCAGGCGGAGGCGGGGGTGGGTAGATGCTTTCGCGAGGGCGCCCCACCTCCCGCGCAGGACCCCGGTGCCCCGGAAGCCGCTCTGTGGGAATCGGCCTCGCCGACTCTCTGGCCCGAGCGGTGGCAGCGCATGGACGGCCCGGCCGAGATCCCGGCCGACACAGGTCGGCGGCGAGCCCAGGGGGTAAGACGAAGCCAGGACGAGGATAAAGTCGGGGGAGGATGAATCGAGAATCTCTGAGACCCATCGGCTCTGGAGGATGTCTCGGGCGCCGCGGCCCTCTCAGAGCGCGTCCTGGAACGCTCTGGAACGGCTTGATCCTCGTCCTAACCCCCGTCCGAAGGGGGGAAGTGCGAAGGAAGGAAGACACTGGCTGGAGACCGCAGCGTCCGGGCCAGGACCACGTCGGGCTGCGTGGCCGTGCTGTCGCCGCCTCTGCTTTGGCGCGGTGCCCCCCCCCCCCCCGCGGAGGGGGAAAGCGGGAAGGGGCGGACCGTCTCAGAAGGCTCGGAAGGCCTCGGGAGCTCCTGAAGACGCCCAAAAGCTCCTCGAAGACGCCAACGACTTCTCGGACGCAAGAACTTCTTCGAAGACGCCAGAACTTTTCTGAGGACGCCAAAACTTCCTCGGAGACGCCAACCACTTCCCTGAAGGCCTCGCTCCGCAAGCTTTCCTCGAAGACGCAGCAGAAGACTCCTCGGAAGGCCAGCGAACCCCCGCCGCCTACCGAGAGAAGGCCTGCTCCTCCTCGCTGCTCCCCTGGGCGCGCCGCCGACCCGGAGCCCGGCCCCGTCTGGTAGTCCAGTGGCGTTGTAGCGACGGTGTGTCTTTGCCGACGATCCTGCCCTGGCAGCCCGCTGCCCCTCCAGGGCGCGCGGAGGACTATGGAACAACTCGGCCCCCTGGCACTGTAGAGGCCTCCCAAGTAGGGTCGGGAGTAGATGGGGTCGGAGGATCGCGCCGCATCGCCGATGCATCGACGACACATCGCCGATGCATCGGCGATGCACGGGCAACGTCTGCGATGCACCGGCGACGTCGGCGTGGAGGAAATCGGGCCCTTCATCGAGCCGCATCGGCGATGCATCCGCGATGCGGCGCGGACCTCCGACTCCATTTACTCCGACCCCATCTAGGAGCCCTAGACGCTGGCCCCTTGTGAGGGCCACGAGCGTTGGTGCGTGCGCATGGGGGCTTCAACAACTATCAAACTACACATTGAAGCGAGCGTTGGATAGTATACGTTGCAGGACATGGACCAGGAAGGGCAAGATAATGCAACTCACTCGTATTACAAATCAGCAAGTTCTTTCCAGTATTGCACTTGCCTGCTCTTGGAAACGTCACTCCCAAGCCTAAGATTTTTCCAGGCTGCTTGGTGCGGCGGGGGGTTGAAAACACTGCGGTTGGGGCTCAATCGCATCCGGATCCTGAACTCCAGGACTGACCGACGCGTAGATGATCGGACTCTCCGAAGCCCTGGTAAATTACGCCGACCTGTGAACAGACATTCGCTACCGCCAGGATTTTCAAGGTAAGCGTTCCCAAACCCAACGTGCAGCCACTCTGGAAGTTCAGTCCATGGCAAGCCACTGTGTTGCGCTTTGCATGCCACTGACAGCATGCTTCATGGCTGATCCACAGCAGCTTCACACATACTACCGCTGCATTGATGCCGCAACTGCTCAGCTAGCCCAGTGCTCAACACAATCGGGCCCCGGCCCCCAAGAGGTTCAAATTCTGGCTGGGGCTCCAGCCGAGTACGGCAATGGTGACGAGGCTAGCCCCGAGACAGTGTAAAAGAAGGCAAGACCAGGATGGCGAGGAGAATGATGCACCTGTTTTTGGGGTGGTCACCTCTGGCGGGCAAAGGCGCCGCCGAGTCACAGGACCTAGCCGGCGCACAACGGCTCCGGCGGCACCGCCAAATCCGCGGCGCGGACCACGAAGTTGTGACCCTCCGCCATGTAGAGCACCTGGGTGGCAGGCTGCTCGTGCAGGGCTGGGAACATGACGACGTCGCCCACTTCCCACTGGCCCTCCTCCGGGGACGAGACCCGGTAGCCCGCTGCGGTACAACTATGGCAGAAGATCGGGACCTCGCTTATCCGGTAGCTCGTGTTGTACAGCTGCACGAAGCCGACCCAGTGCAGCACCCCGCGGCGGAAGTGTAGGGCCTGGTACACCCCCTCTGTGAAGGCTGGGGCGGCCGTGTGCCCGGCGAAATCCGGCGGCCCCCGTTGTGGGGGCCTCTGGGCGGTGAGCCGTCGCGCCGGATTGGCCCAGGTGCTGTTGTGATGGTGTACGTATGGTGTGCTGTGGGCGAGTGCGCGTAGTAGCTTTGTCCTGTTCCCCCCCCCCCATGACCCTCAACGACTGCATCTCGCCGTCCCCTGGGGAGGGCGGCCTCACGATTCCCCCACCAGGAGACCTCGTGAATTCTGCGACGCGAAGATCCCCATGTGTGCATCCCAGTTCCTGGCACTCCCGTCTGTGAGAGTCTGAGTGGGAGAGCATCTTAGCCTGAGGCGACTGAGCGCTCCCTGACGCCGCCTCGTTGGGGTACCCAAGTGCTACGCCTACCACTATATCGCGATGGTCATGGGGTGCGAAAGACCGCCCCCCCACCCCGTCGGCAGGAAGGCTCAGCGCGGCGCGCCCTTGCCGCGGGCAGCAGCGCTGAGCCGCAGCGGCCGGGGGTCGGATCGCTGGCGTAGTCCGCGCCGGCGTAGGGGCCCGCGACCGCTGCGGGAGCGCAAAACGAAAAACGAAGCGAAACGGAACATGGGGCCCGCAAGAGGCAGTCGTCGGAGCTGCCAGACAGGCAGGCCGCCACAGGCATCTCCACAGTGTGTTCGCCAGGAGGCGAGTGTCACCCTCCCCGGCGGCTCCTCCTCGGGGTGCCCCCAATGCTACGCCTGCAATATCGCAGTAATCGAGGGGCTGTCACATGGGAGAAGCTTTGGCCACCAAACAGGCAAACCGCCTGAGACATCCCCACAATCTGGGCGCGAACAGGCAAGTGTACCCCTCCGTGGCGGATCCCCCTTGGGTGCCCAAATGCCATGCCTGCTATCGATGCGACCGTGGGGCTCATAAAAGAAACGAATAAGAATTAACAAGCAGGTCAACTGCCAGAGCCATCCCCGCAATCTGGGCACGAACGGGCAAGTGCCCCCCCCTCACCCCATCCCTGGTGGCTCCTCGTTGCCATGCCTGCTGCGTATGGTGAGAATCAGTCTGAGCGTAGAGGAGTCCGTGTTAGACTGAATGTGTGTGAGCGTGCTCTGAGTATGAGTGTGAGGATGTAAACGAATCCGAGTATGAGTGAGTCTGTGTATGAGCTGGTCGGAGTGTCAGTGAATCGCCGTATAAGTGAGCGTTGACATGAGTAAGTTGAGTATAAGTGCATGTGAGTGTAAGTGGCCTGCGTGCGACTGAGTTTGACTTTCAGTGAGTCTGGATATGAGTGAGTCTGAGTATGACCAATCTGAGTCTAAGTCGACATGAGTGTGAACGAGTCTGAGTTTGAAAGAATGAGTGACTGAGCACTAGAATGTACTGATAATGGAAAGGAAGGAGGAACAAGCGTGAGTAGAGGAGGAGGAGGGGAGGCGGAGGCATCACACGGATAACAAGAACCCCATCGTAAGAGATAGGGCACATAAAAACAATATTTCCCGCTCCCAGAAACACGATCACTCCAATGACAAGGAAGCGCTGTTGCCGACGCCCCTTTGCGCAAGAACTGTCCAAGAACATGTTGAGCGGTCGCGAGGTCTTCTGCACCGTTGTCGGGCTCCCTTTAGTGCTGGAAGGCTCTCTTTGATTAAGGGCAGTCTTGAGGGCCTATTGGGGGCCTCTTGGCCTCTTGGGGCCCCCTTAGGGGCCTCTCGGGGGCTCTTCGGCCAACCTTGGCTACCTGGGAACGCCTTCGGGCGCCTTGGGCGCTCGCTGAGGCCGTCTTGACGCCCTCTGGGCGCTCCCTTGCGCCGCGTTCAGGCTCTCTCGGGTCGTCGTGAAACTCTGTGGAAGCCTCCGTGGGCAACTTGAGGGCAAGATTGGCATGTCTTTCCTGAACTGAAGCCTTTTGGGCCCCTGGCGCACATGTTCTAAGAGCCCAAAATTGCGAGGATGTTTCAGGCGAAACGGGCTGGACCACCTAGCGCACATCTTGAAAGATCCCAGGGCTGCGAGGATGTCTCCGGCGAAGCGGACTGGACCACCTCGCGCGCAGCATCTCGGAGCCCCGAATTACGAGGATGTCTCGGGCGGCGCCCAGGCCCTTCCCAGAGGACAATTCGACAACCTATGTGTAATCACATGATTCGTTTGGGTCTGATCCCTCCTCCCTCCTCTCGCCTCCCTCTCGGAGCCCGAAGTTTCGAAGATGTCTCAGACGAAACAGGCCAGACCACCTCGCCCGCAGCATCCTGGGGCCCCGATTTGCGAGGATGTCTCAAGCGAAACGGGCCACACATCCTTGCGCCAATGTTCTCAAAGCTTCGAGTTGCAAGGATGCCTAAAGCGAAACTGGTCAGACCACCTGGCCCGCAGCATCTCGGAGCCCAGAGTTGTGTTGACGTCTCAAGCGAAAGTCACCAACTCATCTCTCGCGCGGCAGCTCGGAGCTCAGAGTTGTGAGGATGTCTCATGCGAAACGCGCTGGACCACCTCGCGCGCGGCAGCTCGGAACTCAGAGTTGCAGGGATGTCTCAGGCAAAACGCGCTGGGCCACCTCTCGCGCAGCATCTCGGAGCTCAGAGTTGCGAGGATGTCTCAAGTGAAACGCGCTGGACCACCTCGCGCGCGGCGTCTGGGAGCTTAAAGTTAGGAGGGTGTCTCAGGCGAAACGCGCCAGACCACCTCGCGCGCATCAGTTCAGAGCTCAGAGTTGCGAGGATGTCTCAAGAGAAACGGGACAGACCACCTCGCGCGCGGAGTCTCGGAGCTCAGAATTGAAGGGATATCTGAGACGAAACGCGCCGGACCACCTCTCGCACGGCATCTCGGGGCTTCTAACTTCGAGGATGTCTCAAGCGAAACGGCCTGGAACACCTCGCGTGCGGCGTCCCGGAGCCCATATTTTAGAGGATGTCTCAAACGAAACGGCCAATGCCGGACAACTCTGAAACAAGATTTGTGAGGATGTCTCAGCCGAAACGGCCCAGACCACCACATTTGTTTGAGGATGTCTCTGCTCCCTTGTCCCTCGGCCGGAGTTAGCCTCTATCACAACAGCACCCCGTTCAGCAACCTGTTAGGGAAAAACGAGACCCCAACACAGGAGGGTTGGGAACAATACGAAGACAACGACGACGACGGCGACGGCGGCGGCGACGACGATGACGACGACGACGACGCCGACGACGACGACGACGACGACGACGACGACGAAGGCGACGGCGACTGCGACTGCGACGGCGACGGCGAAGGCGACAGCAATGGCAATGCCGACGCCGACGGCGGCGGCGGCGGTGGCGACGACGACGACGAAGAGGCCTCAATGCCTGAGGCAGGAGGTCCTGCAGTGGCCGAAGGCCCTCAGATAAAAGTATTTGCCGACCCAGTCAGCGCCACCCTCTGGTGGATGGGTCGTGGTGAAAATGATCGGCGTACCAGGGACCGCAGGCTCCGACAAGGCCAGGCCGGAGTCGCCTGCGTCCTCGTCGGAGAGCCCGTGGCCGTAGTAGCCTGGCCTGGCCACCGCCGTCGCCACCACTCCGCTCGCCAGATCGAGCACGAGCACCGCCGGGTTGGCCGCGTCCGCCACGTACAGCCGCTGGGCAACGGAGTCCACAGCCAGGTCGCTGGGGCCCTTCAGGTACACCTGCAGGCCTGAGCCGACCTCGCCACGGAACGCCGTAGCCGCGTCGCCTCGGCCGCCGGCGCGCCCTGGGGTGCCGAGGACGACGGCGGAGCTCAGCACCACGGGCGCCGCTCTGAAGCCGTCCCCTGCGGTGGCGGTCCCGTTGGGGAGGTCCGAGGCGCTCTCGTCGGGGAGGCCCGAGGCGTTCTCGCCGCTCTCGTTGGAGAGGCCCGAGGCGTTCTCATCGGGGAGCCCAGACGCGTTCTCGCCGCTCTCGTTGGAGAGGCCCGAGGTGTTCTGGTCGGCGAGGCCCGAGGCGTTCTCGTCGGCGGGGGCCTCCGAGAGGTTCAGCGCAAGGACCACGTGCTGGCCAGAGTCGGCCACGTAGAGCACCTGGCCCTGGGAGTCCACCGCCAAGCCGGCCGGCTGCCACAGCTCCACCGCCTGCGCTGCCACCAGCCCCCACAGCACGCCGGACCGCAAGTCGAGCGCGCGCACCACAGAGTTGCCCAGGTCCGCCACGAAAAGCCGCTCGCTCGCCTGGTCCATCGCCAATCCGGCTGGGTACCTCAGCTGCGCGCTGGCCGCACGCCCTCCGTCTCCGGAGTAGCCCGCGGAGCCCATGACGCCCACCACCGTCTCGATCACGCCGGTTTCAAGATCGTCGGGGGTTGATAAATGTGCCCCTGGCCCGAGGTGCCCCCAGCTTTTCGCTCAATCTTGAGCCTCTGGGCCTCGTGAGGGGTGCTCTGGATGCCTCGGTGGCCCACTTGGAAATCCTGGGGGGCACCTCGGGCCAGAGGCACCTCTAGCAACGCCCGAGATCGACGCTGCGCACCACGTGGTTCCTGAAGGGGAACTGAGACACACAAATAAATACACACAAATAAACATATCCCCCATATTTTCCCATATTTTCGGGTTTTTGTCTTCCCCCTCACTTCCCATATTTTCCCATATTTTCTGGGGAATCGACGATTAATTGTGTCTGTGTGTTTTTTTCCCTCCTGAATTCCCTCGGTCGGCCACAAACAGCCGGCGGGAGGCATTGTCCAGGGCCAGGCCGTGCGGCTCCCGGAGCAGCGCCGCGGTAGCCTGGCCGCCGTCGCCCATGGCGCCCTGCCGCCCGAGCGTCCCAGCGAACGTGGCGACGCGCCCTGGCTGGAAGAAGCAACTGCAGCTAACCCGTAGCATAAGGATGCGCGGTAAGGATGCGAGGGCATTGAAGGGCCACGTTGGGCGCGTTTTGAACGAAGCTCGCAAGCGAACGTCGCTAAGGATGGGCCGACAGGGCAGGTATGCAAGGGTACCCCTGGGAAGGCTGCCCGTCCTCACTCTGCGGGCTGATGGTGCAGAACCTCAAACTTTCGGAGCTCCGCGCGGACTTCTTGGATCGGCACTGGGGCCCGCGCTCTGCGTGCCAGGAGGTCCAACGCGGACCAAGAGACCCACGCGGAGCTCCGAAAGTATGTGCAGTCCTTCGGAGCAGGGCGGGTCGAGACAACGGCAGCTCAAGGCTGGACCCCTCCCAGGCTGCAATCTCGCCCCTTTTCCAAGCTGCGTCCAGCCGTGGCGACGAGGGGGCCGTCCGAAGGCCAACTACCGTTGTCTCAGCTCGCCCTCTGAGTTTTCTCTCTTCTTCCATAAGAGGGCAGAGAATCTCCCCCCAGAATGATCACCCCGACACGCGAAGCCGTTTAGCAAACGCACCCACAGAAAGAATCGAACAGGGTAGGGCTGTTTAGTGAACGCCCAGGGCCGTTCAGTAAACGCCAGTTGTCGGGTCCGGGTGGTTTTTCCTCCCTTGATTCTAGGCCTGTGCGAAGGTCTACGCGCCGCACCGCGTGGTTCCCGGCGTCGGACACGTAGAGCACCTGGCCAGCGCTGTCCAGCGACAACGCTCTCGGGAGGCGCCACCGCGACAGTGTGGCGGGCGACTCCTCCCCGGAGCAGCCGAACAGCCCGAGCGTGCCGGCAACCAGGGGCACCGGGAGCGCAGAGGGCACGGTGGGCATGCAGCCGTCCTGGGCATCGTGACACCGATCCCAAACAGGCTCGCGTCGTGAAAAAGGACACGACGGAAGGTTTTTGGCCTGTTTCGGCCTCCGGGGTCTCTCGCCAAGCCCCGAGGCAATCAAAAAACGACTCGGGGTGAGAAACCGGCCCTGGGGAAAGGGCCGTTTCGGCCTCCGGGGGTCTCTCGCCAAGCCCTGGGGCAATCAAAAAACGACTCGGGGTGAGAAACCGGCCCTGGGGAAAGGGCCGGGACTTGGGGAGCCCCCGCATTGAAAAAATCAAGACATCGGTCGTCCAGGGATCCTTGTCCCTCCTGGCGTGGCCTCGGCCCCACTTGCCGACTCGCCCATCCAGGTGGGGTTCATGTGCCTGTTACCCCACGATTCGTTGGGACGATGCCCACGTATAGGAGGGTGGGCTCGTGTGGCTGACATGCCACGGCCCATTGGGATGGGGACAAGTTATTATTCAGTAGAAGAAGAGAAAACGCCATGAATAGATACTTTTGGCGATCCGTGCGGATTTCTTGGATCTGCGCTGGACCCCCCTTCCCGGCGCGCGGAGCGCGCCAGGGGCGGCGCCGGAGGCGCCGCCAGGGGAGCCCAGAGCGGATCCAAGAAATCCGCGCGGAGCGCCACAAGTTTATGCTTATGACGCTTGTTCTTCTTAGATGTAGACGGTGCTGACGTCCGGCACGTCCACATTCTCGTAGAAGCTCCCGCTGGCCCGCTGCGCCCAGGCCGCTGCCAGCAGCCACGCCCGAGGAGGTCTCGCCCGTGGCATCGCACAGCGCGCAGACCCCCGCGGCCCGTCGGCGGCGCTCGATAGCCGAGGCCGGCTGCACCGCACGTCTATACTGCAACGCAGCGAGCATGGCGCCGTCGGCCCCTCCTCGCCATCGTTCGGACGCCCATTCCCCGTGCATGTTTCGATTTCGCGCGCGTGTGTTTCCCAGACACGCTCACGTCGTACAAAAATCAGGACAAGTTTTTTCGCCGTTGTCGGCCTCCGGAAGCCCTCGCCGGTCCGCGGGACCTTGAAAAAACGACGCCGGGTGAAAAACCGGTCCTGGGGAAAGGGTCGGGACTTCCGGGGACGACGTATTGAAAAAATCAGGACGTCGCATGTCTGAGATCGCACGATGATCCAAGATGCTTCTCGATGGCCCTCGCCGAAGAGACGATGCACACGTCCAAGCGATGCCGAGCCTCAGCGCACTGCACGGAGCCCTGCGGGCCGTCGCCTTCCCCCAGCCATTCCCCGAGCGCCTCGACGCTCCACCTCGCTTTCGTGCCTGGAGTTGTTCGCCCGATCCATAACTGTGGGAATGCGCACGCACGTGCTGCTCCAAGCCATGTGCGGTTTCCTGCCACCCTCTCCGCTGTACTGCTGTTGCCGTCGCCGCCGTTGTTGCTGCTGCTGCCCATTCCGAACCTGCGCGATGTGCCCCCCTGCTTGACGTTTACCCGACTTCCCCTCGAATTTGATGGACTTGATAGAGCTCGTATGACAACACGCCTGGCTTCACCACGAAATCCTACCAGCCCTTTAGGGCGTGACTAGTGTAGAGGTGTTTCCACTCTTGTGATCTTCCCACCGGGCTCGCACCCGCGTCTCTCTGTCTCTCTCTCTCTCTCTCTCTTTCTGTTTCTCTCTCTCTCTCTCTCTCGCTCTTTCTCTCCCTCCCTCTCTCTCTCACCTCACCCTTCTCTTCCTCATTCGTCGTCATACAACGTCATAGCCATCACAACGTCATACATATACACACGTACAGCCGCGCACCACGTGACACACACACACACACACACACACACACACACGCAAGCACACACACACACACACACACACACACAAACGCGCACGCACGCACGCACGCACTCACACACGCACACGCACACGCAGACGCACACGCACACGCACACACATTCACACACACACACACCACATTCACACACACACACACACAGACACACACACACACACACACACACACACACACACTGCACGCAGGCAGGAGAGGGATGACACCTGGCGCGTTCTGAGGGGGTGGTCTCTGAGGGCGGCCGCTATCCGTGACGGTCGCCCAGGGCATAGCAAGCGTGGCATACACCATAGGGGTGCGCAAACATTGTCTCTGACGGCGGCCGCTATCCGTGACGGTCGTCCAGGGCATAGCAAGCGCGGCAAAATCTCGACACCAGAAAAGGGAATGCGCAAATGGTGGTCTCTGAGGGCGGCCGCCATCCGTGACGGTCGTCCAGGGCATCGCAGGCGTGGCGGATTCTCGACGTCATAATGGGGGTGCGCAAGGGGGGGTCTTTAAGCGCGGCAGCCATCCGTGACGGTCGTACAGGGCATAGCAGGCGTGGCATGGTCTCTGAGGGCGGCCGCTATCCGCGACGGTCGTCCAGGGCATAGCAGGCGTGGCTTATGCTCGGCACCACACGCGGTGCGCAGGGGGGGGTCTCTGAAGGTGGCCGCTATATGTGTCGGCCGTCAAGGGCATAGCAGGCGTGGCAGAGCCTCGACATTATAGGGGGTGCGCACGGGGTGGTCTATGTATGAGGGCAGCAGCTGTCTGTGGCAGTCATCCAGGGCATAGGAGGCGCAGCATATTCTCGACGTCAGAATGGGGGTGCGGAAAAGGGGTTGCCTCTGGAGGCGATCGTTATCTATGACGGTCGTCCAGGGCATAGCAAGCGTGGCGTATTCTCGACATCATAGGGGTGCGCAGATGTGGTTTCTGACGGTGGTCGCTATCCGTGTCGGCCGCCCAGGGCATAGCAAACGTGACATAATCTTGACCCCATAGGGGGTGCGCAGGTGGTGGTCCCTGAGGGCGGCCGCTATCCGTGACGGCCGTCCAGGGCATAGCAGGCGTCGCCGATTCTCGACGTCAGAATGTGGGTGCGCAAGGGGGGGTCTCTGTGCGCGGCCGCTGTCCGTGACGGTCGTCCAGGGCATGCCAGGCGCTGCAGATCCTCGACACCAAGGGGGTGCGAAGGGGGTGGTCTCTGAGGGCGGCCGCTGTCTGTGACGGTCGTCCAGGGAATAGCAGGCGTGGCATATTCTCAACACCGTAGGGGGTGCGCAGGAGGGGGGTCTCTGAGCGCGGCCGCTATCCGTCCAGGGCAAGCAGTGGTGCGTAGGATGGCCAACCAAACATTCACATTGTACGTGCAGGCGTCAGAATGTCAAGCGCATGCTGAGTGGTTACAGGAAGACTAAAATAAATGTGTGGTGTTCCTCGGTAGCGTAATCGACTTCCGAAAGGCTTGGCGCAATGGCACGCCCGTCAGATTAGACACACCTGCCCGGAATACAATCAAGGTACGAGTGACAGGGTTGCCAATGCTGCGTCCAAAACTAAAGCCTTTGCTACAAATGCCGATGTTGCACAGTTCACCTGAAAATCTGCGTGTCCCAACATAGAATACGCCCATGCTTCACCGTGCCGTTGCACCGAATATAAGATCCACGCGCATCCAGCGGAGCCGTCTTCGGGACTCCTCCCCCTACCCCTCCCCCTGGACCTGGATGGGGGCCTTTCGCGAGAGGTTGGAGCGTTCAAGATGGAATCGGCGAAGAAGCCAAAATCAGTGAGTTGAGGATGGTTTTGACAACAGTTCGGCATCCTGGGGGTGCAACGCTATTGGGGACCCCCCCCCTCCTTTGATCGATCTCCACCAAAATGGCCCCAAGATGGCCTCAAGAGACTCCCAAGGGTGCCCCAAAACGGCCACAAGAGGTGCCCAGGAGGCCCCAAGAAACCCCCAAGCAGACGCAAGAGGCTCCAAGAGAACTCCAAGAGGCCCCCAGAGGCCCCCAGAGGCACCCAAGACGACGCCCCAAGAGGCCTCGGCAAGGCGGCTAAGAGCATTGATGTGACCCAGGGTTTGGCCACATGTTGGCATCCTGGAGGAAGGGCAAATTAAGGAGTCCGCCTCCTTTGATCGATCCCCTCCTAGATGGCCCCAATATGGCCCCCTAGGCCCCCAAGGGTGCCCCAAAACGCTCCAAGAGGTGCCCAGAAGGCTCAAAGAGGTCCCTGAGAGGCCCTAAAGATGTCCCTGAGAGACCCTCAAGAAACCCCCAAGAGGCCCCAAGAGGCCCGCTTGAGGCACCCAAGACGCCCCAAGAGACCCCCGAGATTGCCCAGAGAACCCCAAGACGCCCCAAGGGGACCCCAAGAAGCTTTCGAAAGACATCCGAAGAGACTCCGGGAAGCATTCAAGAGGCCTCTGGCCTTTCTGCTCGCCCTCCTCCTCCTCCTCTTCCTCCTCCTCGTCCTCCTCGTCCTCCTCTTCCTCCTCCTCCTCCTCTTCCCTCTCCACCCTCTCCTCCTCCTCCTCCTCCTCCTCCTCCTCCTCCTCCTCCTCCTCCTCCTCCTCCTTGTCCTCCTCCTTGTCCTCCTCCTCCTCCTCCTCCTCCTCCTCCTCCTCCTCCTCCTCCTCCTCCTCCTCCTCCTCCTCCTCCTCCTCCGTCTCCTCCTCCGCCTCATCATCATCATCCCCTCTTTTCCTACTCCTAGAATCCGAAAGTCGGGCCGCGCTCCTGCGGGTGGATCGTGGTCACCATTGTCAGCTGATACTCGGAACTTGTGCCGTTCAGGTGCAGCAGAAGCGGGCGACCGGCCTACCTTGCCCGCTCCGGCCAGCAAAAGCTGAGCCACTTCGGGCGGCGCGCACGTCCGCGCGCTCGGCAAGGGCTGCGCGATGAGATGGGAGACTGTAGCTTGACACATGCTCGCCAGCGTGGGCCCCGAACAGTGAGTTTAGTTCCTCTGGATGTGCGAGATCTGATGTGCAAGCGTGGCGGTGCAAACCGTGCGGTGCAGGCTGTGTTGTGCAAGCTATGGGGTGCAAGATCTGTGGTGGGTGCAATCTATGTGGTGCGCGGTACGCGATGCAACCCATGTGGTGCAAGCTGCGCAGTGCAAGGTCAGTGGTGCACGCTACGTGGGGCCATCTGAATCTGTGGTGCAAGCTGTGTGGTGACA